TAATTAATTCAGTCACGTGGGGCATACACACACCTCGTCAATAACATTATGTAATCATGCTTTTTTATTATTATTATTATTATTATTATTATTATTATTCCAAGGCATATTACATCTCAAATATAACATCATTTTAAAGCTTGTAAGGTGGTACGCCTTTTAGCAAACAACTTCTAGCATATATTTCCTGGTTTCATTCAAGTATGACAAAATAGAAATGGAACATGCACAACATCACAATTTAACAACATAAATAATCTTCACTACTAGCATGACAACATTCCATTTTTGCAATAAATAATCATTTTAAGGATTCTAGCATGTGAAAGGTCTCCTAAATCATTTGTTTCTATAACAACTTCACAAATTCAGATCGCATACATCTCATATTTTTATATTATAGCATCACAGTCACACCAAATCATATAGACCTAACATATGTACACGAGCTTGAAATTTCCAAAACAAGTACTTAAACCACCATAAAGAATCTCTCTCTCTTCTTTTTCTCTCTCTCTCTCTCTCTCTCTCTTCATATATATATATATATATATATATATATATATATATATATATATATATATATATATATATATATATATATTCGAACTCTATTTTAGTAAAAAAGATAGTAATGATTTTTAATATTTTTTAATTAACAAAAATATAGTGTGTTTATTTGATAATCATTTTTCGTCGTCTTTAAAATAAATTTATTACATAACTACAAAACTCGGTTTTTAGGATATGAGAGTTATGTTAAATCCAAACTAGTTTTATCAGGTTTTTATAGTATAACAATTTAGGGATTCCAATAATCCAACTTTTTAATATTTTATCGGATTAATTATATAAAATATGATTTTTTTTAAATGAAAGGGAAAATATTGGAAATATAGTTGATATATTCAGAAAATTAATTGATTTCATTTGGGCAAAATCAAAAGCTTAAACTGTATTAATAATAATAGGGAAAATGTCACTGTAGCCCCACGAAGTTTCACATTTTGGTTTAAAATGTCCCTATTTTTATTTTTTGGCTTTCTAAGGGTATGAATTCTCTTTTGATCGGCTTTTAAGGCCATTTTCTAGAAAGTGAAGGGGTCACCCGGTCACCCATTTCACAATCAGTCAATTATGTTGTACACATCATTAAAAAAAGCCAACTCATTTGTCATATCAAATGCCACTTAAGGTATATGAACAGGAGAGCACGAAATTGAGGGAGAACAACCATGTGGAATCCATCGCCATTATCATCACTTCCCCTGAAAATAGCATTCACCATTTCTTTCTTTTTTCTTTCTCATTGCTTCTTCTTCGTCTTACTCTCCCCCAACCCCCTACCCCGGTTTTCATTCCATCTCAATTCCGAAAGTCAACTCCAAGAAACAACGACCATTGCCACCGCTGGAGACATACTCGCACTCCTTGGCACACCTCAGCAGGCTGCATTCATCGACACCCAATTGAGAATCTGAGATAAGTCAAGAATCCAACAACGAACCCATTCATCCAAATCAATCAAACACAACGCCAATTCCAAGTCGAACGTACGCAGGTAACATAATTCTGACTTTCCTATTGACCCGTAAGAATATCTGTTCAATTTCCGATGGCAGATGAAAGTTGCGCTCCTGATATCTGTACTTAAAATCCGATTACACCGTTCACTAATCAATAATTCCAATTTTGACCTCTTTAGTTTGACTCACAAGAACACCCTTACAAACACGATTTCATTCCATTGAGTTCCTGTCACGATTTCATTCGCTCGTATGACACAACTTGTGAGTTAAATTAACCATTTGGAATGCATCATATCATAAACACCAAATCCCACTTCTTCAAATCGATTTTAAGATCAAACAGCTCATCAGTCGAGTTCTTTACCACAATTATCTGTACGTATTTTCAAAACTTTAAAACATCAAATCTTCATATCATCATTAATTTCATCGAATGACATAAACAAGAAACTAAATTGATGTTGAAACAAGAATGAGTAGATAGACTTTTTTAAGCAAAGAATCAATTGATAAAATCAAAATTGATATCGATAATGCTATTACTCACAAAGATCGATTCTAGAACATATGAGCAAAAGATTTAACAATCATGGATAAGAATCATCAATTGTTGTTCGTTGGCTCCGGTTTCTGCCCCCGGCCCTGGATGCCCTTTCCACCATTTCGATGGCGAGAGCTCGGTCAAGGACTTCATCCATACGCTTCTGCATCATCCAAAAATCCCTAATTCGATTTCATGTTAAGATACAATGAGATGGCTGATAACCTGACATTTTGGTGAATCTCACAAATTTGGCAACGAAAATGGGTGATGAATTGGGTAACCACTGTACCCTTAGGGCCCAAGCAAGGCAACTCATTAGTGAGTCGTTTATGTGTCTTCTGAGTTAGGTGAGTTGATTTTGTAACTGAGTTAGGTGATGACTAGGCAAAGAAACCGGTTAAATTGGGGGTAAAATCTCTAATGAGCCGGCAAAGAGAGAATTCATACCTTTATAAGACCAAAAAATAAAAATAGGGACCTTTTAAACCAAAATGTGAAAGTTCGTGGGGCTACGGTGATATTTTCCCATCATAATAATAATAATAATAATAATAATAATAATAATAATAATAATAATAAATATATTCCAACCAAACAAATGGCTATAAATATTTTAAAAAGGTAGAAAACAACAATTTAATAAGAAAATAATATATTAATAATAAAATAAATTTAAATAAAAATATTCTAAACAATTTATATAGTAAAATAACAATATAATAATTTATAAAATTAATAATGAAAAAGTAACGAGTATAGAAAAAAAAACATAATAACTAAAAAGATGATTAAAATGTGATGTGACAAAGGTTTTTGAAAGAAAATTTAGGTTTTTTAAAAACCTTTATTAATTAATTTATTTGTTTATTTATTAAATGACTTATAAACTTCCGTATAGGGGTGCAAACGAGCCGAGCCGAGCCTGAGCCTGGTCAGGCTCGGCTCGGGCTCGTTTAAGTTCTAAGAGGCTCGAGCTCGAGCTCAGTCCGAGCTCGTAAATAATTATATAAGCTCGACTCGGGCTCGGGCTCAGCTCGTTTTTTTACTCATATGCCTAAATAAGCTTAAGCTCGGCTCGAGCTTGTGAAGAAGCTCATTTACTAATACCATAAATTCCTAATCCACAAATATGTTTTTATTTTAATATATAAAAAATAAGAAATTGTATCATATAAAAGCTCGTTTAGGCTCGCGAGCCCAACCGAGCTTAGTGACATAGGCTCGAGCTCGAGCTCGTTTAATAAACGAGCTTAATATTAAGCTCGGGCTCGTCTAAAGTCGGTTTCGAGTTGAGCTTTTAGCGATCCGATCCCGAGTAACTCAAGAGTAGCTTGGCTCGTTTGCACCCGTACTTCCGCATTACCTTAATTCTAAATCTACATCTTTTATATACAACAAGATTTTAACCATTAATCATTGGTTGGGGGCATCTATCTATCAACTCTTGATATGTTTGTATTGTCTTTTCTATAAATATGTACAACACCAACGTAAAAAGAAAATTAACATGAATACTATCTTTTTTCTTGAAAAAGTACTAAAAGGGGATGTACGTAGGGATGACAAAAAAACCCGAACCCGACGGGGAAACCCGATTCCCGAATATTTCGGGTCGGGTCGGGTCGCTCTTATCGGGTAACGGGTCGGGTAACGGGTCTTTATTGGGTATTTTATCCGGGTTCGGGGCAGGGAGTGGGTATGCACGCCCCGACCCGACCCGCCCCGAATATATATATATATATATATATATATATATATATATATATATATATATATATATATATATATATATGAAATTACATTGCTGCCCCTTGAAGACATAACCCTAAAATCACGTTTCCACTCTAGTATCCTCCTTACACTTCTCTTCGTTCAATCGTTCTTCTACTCCAGCCGACACACCCAAAAATCGAAATTACTCTTATTTCGTAGAAGTAGCAAGTAGCAAGCAGCGATACACCACAAGGGAAGCAGCGACTCAGCGAGGCAACGACCAGCGACCAGCGACTCAGCAGCGAAGCAGCGACTCAGCAGCGAAGCAGCGACTCAGCAACACGCGACGACCAGGGAAGCAGTGATTCGGTGAGGCAGCGACCAGCAAGAAGCGACCAGTTAGACGGATACGCAACCCACACGATTCACGAAGAAATCGACTTTCTTTCTCTTCCGACTTCGATCGACGCCACGCACAAGAGGTAATTTCGATTCTTGAAATCCATTGAAATTTTGATTCTTGAAATCGATCACAGCTTGTAATTTCGGCATGAACATTGAAATTTCGATTCTGGAAATCGATCACAGCTTGTAATTTCGGTATGAACATTGAAATTTCAATTCTTGAAATCGATCACAGCTTGTAATTTCGATTCTTGAAATCCATATGAACATTAAAATCTGTTTGTGGTATTAATTTCGATTGCACCATTTGTAATATGTTTATTGATCATAGGTATTAATAGCTTAATAACTTATTGATCTTAGGTATTAATTTCGATCACAGCTTAATAGCTTATTCACCAAGTCTGATTTCTCTACACATGGTATATGTAATATGTTTATTGATATTTCATTTCCTTAGATTGCATCATTTGGGTCTGAACTATGAATTTGTATCTAACTATCTTTGCTATTAGAATATAAAAGTATTTATTGGCTTCCATGAAATTTTTGGTCTAGATACTTGAATGATATTACAAATATAGATATAATAAAGATAAACAAACACCCGGGACTCGTTTAGCAATGTTATTATTAACCTTCTATTTGAATTTAAGTTTTATTAAGATTAAATTTTTATTTGATATCCGGCTGTATTATTAGACATTGATTTGGATTCCTTTAATGAAGACTAAGATGTTGTCAACTTTGGGTTTTTCATACATTAGAATTGTTGAATATGATATGACATTGGTTATTTTTCAGGAAATATGAATTCAACCGATCAAAATCATGCTCCAACTGCAAGAAGTCAAGATGTGGGAGGTTCGGGTTCTAATCAACAAAATACCGATTCTGTGGATCAACAAGATGAGACAAATATTAATGATACAGTTTTTGATGAAGATGGAGATGAAGTTGTTGGTTCGAAAAGGGCAACGCGTTCATCGGCATGGCAACATTTTATAAAATTTAATTTGAATGGTGAAGTTAAAGCAAGATGTAAATATTGCTCTAAAGTGTTAGGTGCAGATAGCAAGAATGGCACAAAACATTTACTTGCACATCATAAGCGTTGTATACACAAACCTTTTACAGATATCCGTCAATCTATCTTGGTGCAAGAAAAAAAGAAAGTGGATGGTACTACAACGCATGTTTTAAATTATACATTTAATGCTGATACTTCTAGGAAGGATTTGGCTGAAATGATTATTTTGCATGAGTATCCGCTTTCAATTGTAGAACATCATGGATTTAGGAAGTTTGTGGGAGGTCTTCAACCTTTGTTTAAGGTTCCTTGTCGAAACACCATCAAGGAGGACATCAAAAGAATTTATGATTATGAAAGGGATAAAACTATGAGTTTGTTAGCAAAGAACAAAAGCAGAATTGTAGTTACTACTGATATGTGGACATCTAATCATAAAAAAAAACGGTTTATGGCAATCACAGCACATTTTGTAGATCAAAACTGGAACTTGCAAAGCAGAATTATGAGGTATATTATACTTATTTAACTACAATTTATACGTACTTATTATTTATATGTTAATATTAACATATATATATTTATATATTCTTAAACAGGTTTATTTACGTGCCTTGTCCGCATACATTTGATGTTCTTGCCGACATACTTTATGCTACTTTGTGTGATTGGAATCTTGATAGGAAAGTGGCAACTCTTACTGTGGATAATTGCACCACAAATGATGCAATTATTAGGATATTATTAGAGAAACTTCCTCTAAAATCACTAATGATGAATGATGATTTGTTTCATATGCGTTGTTGTGCACATATTCTCAATCTTATTGTCCAAGATGGCTTCTCTCTCATTAAATTTGAGATTTAGAGAATCAGAGAGAGTGTTGCATTTTGGTCTGCATCACCAAAGAGGGAGCAAAATTTTGTGACAGCAGCAGAGCAATTGGGAATACCATACTCAAAGAAGTTGATACTTGACTGCAAGACACGATGGAACTCTACATTCTTGATGTTGAGTGTTGCTATAAGCTACAAAGAGGTTTTCGATCGTGTGAAGACAAGAGACCCCAAGTATATATGTTTTCCTACATACCAGGATTGGGAGTTAGCTAGTGAGATTTGTGAAAGATTACAGCTTTTTTATGAGGTGACTGATATGTTCTCTGGTTCAAAGTATCCTACAGCTAATGTTTTTTTTTTCCTTTGATATGTGAGATTGGGTATTCTTTGCGTGAGTGGACGAAATCTCCTATTGAGGAGATTAAGGTGATGGCTAACCAAATGCTTTCTAAGTTCAATAAGTATTGGTCTGTAATTCATGGGATAATGGGAATGGCAGCAGTTTTAGATCCACGATACAAGTTAAAGTTTGTGGAGTTACTTTTGCCTGTGCTTTATGGAGAAGAAAAGGCAAAGATTGAATTTCAAATTTTGGAGGGGTTTGTCACAACTTTGTTTCAAGAGTACGAGTCAAGTAATGCATCTAAAAAAAGGAAGAGTTAAGGTATTGTATTCTTCTTATTGTTTATATAATAAATAGAACATTATCTTAAATTATTAACATTTTTATACTAAACATTATGTGTTTGTGGTGGTTCAGTTCCTGGTTCATCTTCATTTGGTTCTAGTATCTCTTCTGGTCATCGTGTTGGATTCAAAAAACTCTTATCGGATATTGCTTCTATTACTAGAGATGATGATGAATCAGGAGGTATGAGTGAGTTGGATAACTACTTGAAGGAGAAATTGTTGCCTAAAGACATGGAACTTGATTTGTTGGCATGGTGGAAAACAAATGGGATTAAGTACCCGACACTACAAAGGATAGCTAAAGATATATTAGTTGTTCCTGTTTCCACTGTTGCCTCGGAATTAGCTTTCAGCACAAGTGGAAGATTAGTAAGTCCTCATCGTAGTCGACTTCATCCAAAGACATTGGAGGCTTTAATGTGTGCTCAAAGTTGGTTGTTGAATGAAATTCGAGGTAGTATACTATTTTATATTAATTATATGAAATTGTGAATTTTTTTTTGCATATTAATAATATTAATTTTACACAGCAACTTGTTCTGAAGAGACGGAGGCATATTGTCGTTCTGTTGAATTTGATTATGATGTGGAAGAGGTCAAACGAAACTCCTAAAAATATTAATTTTATATAGTTTCCATGATTTGGTTTGATTTTGAGTTTGTTTAATATTTTGTAGGAAAACACTAAAGAAAGCGGGACAACAAGTTTGGATGATTTTGTTTGATTTTGAGTTTGTAACTTTGTTTTAATGTTAAGTGGTAATGTATTATTGTGATGAATTAGTTTTTAATGTTGTGTACTTGGGTGTTTTGGTTGATTGGTTGATGTTACAATATTAGACTATTAGTAATTTCTATTTGGTTAAATGACTTAAGAACTTATTTGGTATTTTAAGTTTATGCATCGTCTTAATTTATCATTCTGTATTTATAGTTTTTCCTTATTTTTTTTTTCTGCCATATTTCGAGTTTTAGGGTCGGGTTTTCGGGTAGTTATCGGGTTTAGGGTCGGGTTTGGGGAGAGTTTCAGCCCCGACGGGGCGCCCCGATAAGAAATCCGTCGGGTATCGGGTCGGGTTCGGGCACATATGTAGATATCGGGTTCGGGTTTGGGAAACCATGCCCCGCCCCGAACCCGCCCCGTTTCCATTCCTAGATGTACGTGCTCTTCATTTTCCATCATATTATCAAATTGCTAATATTTTCACCAAAGTTCTCCTAGGAGTCATGGTAAGCACATATAGTTTTATGATAGCTATACTTCCATTTTAACAAATTTTACCAAGCCCTTATAGTTAATATTGTTGGAATATAGGCATCGACGCTCATAACAAATGGCCTAACATATATGTGTTATTTATCTATTATTTGCCACAACCCTCCCACAAAAACAATAACAAAAAGTTGTTCATATTCCAATGAAACATGAATTTTATCTGATTTTTTTCCCAAAAAAATTGATTTGTATAAGATTCTACCATTTTATATGAGAAAATAAAAGAATAATTAATATTGTACGGATTCTTACTTCATAGTACGCCCTACCTAGTTGCACTCCGCGTTACAACTTTTACGGACTAGAATATTGTCTTTCACTTGAATGTCTAGTTTATAGTACGAATTCTGTAAAATTTCACATAACTAATTATGGGCACATGCAATCCTAGAAACAATCTATGGCTTTTCTCATAATAGCAACATACTTTGAAACAACTAAATAACCTAGGTAAAATCGAAAATCAAAAGGGTTTTATATTTAAAAAAAAAAACTTATTATTATTTTTGAAAGTAAAAAAGTACTTTGAAGACTCTTGGAATGCTAGCCCCAATGGTGTGGAAGCCTTTAATGAATTACACAAAAACCCTAAGAAAAAACCCTAGGATTAAAAATAGATAGAAAGGGGTAGGGAGAGGATTTCGAAAGTCCTTGCTTGAATGCAGGGTTCTTTGAGTGTTATGGAAGTCCCTATTTATACTTGTAGGAAACCCTAATATGAATCCAGACAATTAATAAAATATTCCTTATTTCCTTATCAGTTTCCTTTGTGACCAAAAAAGCTTCTAGAACCCTTCCAAGAGGCTCCTGAAAATCGTCCCTAGTATGGAGGTTCTAGAATGCCTTCTTCTTTAACTATTGAACAATTTCATTATAACCCATTAGACTCAATAATTAATTCTAATTAATCCAACATAATTAATTAAATTAATTTTGACTAATTGTTAATTAATAGCTTTCATTTCTAATTAATATACCAATCTCATAATAGATTAGTCTATTAATTATGTCTCTCCTATAATCAATCCAAATCATTTTCCTAGTTATGATGACAACCCAAAAAGTACTTTACTATTATTCAATCAATTATACCAATTTAGTTAAGACCTTAGACACCCTAATCCAACAATCTCCCACTTGGATAAGTTGCCAACTATAATTGTAGGTATAACTCTCTGAATAACTAGTTCAAAGTGCATTCCAAATCACTGCCAAGCTCTGATAAGTGATAAACCATTCCTCTATTTTCATGATATCGTATAGACACGAGACATAGATTATAATTAATCCCATGGTCCAAGATTCTATTTCTTGATTTCTCGATTTTTTATAACATCATCAAACTACTAATCGAACACAAGAATATAGTCTTGATTGGGCCCAACACAATAATTTCTACATCAAGTCACCAAGGGGCCCAAAGATATCACTTTCCTAAATAGGCAAAAAGAATGAATAAACTTTGACTATATAATCATACATTTTACTCGTCATATTATCCATGAAAATACAGTTTATGACATCCAGTTATAGATACGTTGATGCAAACCAATGTACAATATATTCCTTAAACTATAACTTATATATCTCTATTTCAAGATTAGGATATATTATCATCTTAGAACTACTCGTGATAAAATCCATTAAGTAATCTCTATGCGCGGGTTTAACTAATACTCAAAATCCCTATTTTCTAAGTACTCATGAATATTGCAGCAATCTCTATGTAATGTACAATCCCCATGAACAATCTACAAACGATTCATGACTGTTTGAGTCAGTACCAACTTCCCAAAAGTATGACCGACTATGGTGATTTTAGTAATTTAATACTCGAGGAATAAAAAACATAAAGTGAAACACAAGAACAAACTAATTAATAAATGGTATCAAACAACTTGAACATAAATAAATCTATATAAATTAACCACCATTTAATTACATTTATTGATGTTACATTGTTTCAAAAATTATCAACTAACAACTAAAATCTAAAATTTAACATCATATCTTAGTCCAATGCTCCTAGCATGCTTGTAGTTCTTTATCTTGTGTAATCCTTTTGTGAGAGGATCAACAGGATTATCCTCTGATGATACTCGATTCACCATGATTTTTCCTTCTTCTACTCGATGTCGAATGCATTGGTATTTTCTTTCAATGTGTCTTGATCTACCATTATCCTTTGGTTCTTTGGTTAATTCAACCACACCTTCGTTGTCACAGAAAATATCTATTGGTTCTTGGATTGAAGAAAAAACTTCAAGATCTCTAATAAAATTTGTTAAAAATGTTGATTCCTTTGTTGCCTCGCTTGCTATGATGTACTCTGATTCATAAGTAGAATCAGCCACTATGTTACTTAGAACTTTGTCAAGTAACCGCTCCACTATTTAATAGAAACAACCAACCAGATTGCGATAACTATTATCTCAATCTTTTTGAAAATTGGCATCACTATATATACTGACTTTAAGTTCATATATTCCACCAAAGACGAAAATCAAAATTTTCGTCTTTAGCAAATACTTAAGTATATTCTTCACTATTGTGGGTAACCAAAAAATATATAATTCTCAGATCTGGGTTCCAGCTTGTCTTGGATCTCATGTCAAACGAAGATCTCATAACCCCAAACCTTGATATGTGCAGGTGAGGGAGGTTTCCCTGTCCAGATCTCATGAGGTGTTTGGGCAACCTATTTTGTTGGAACAAGATTGAGGATATTGGTGGATATTTGTAAGGCATACTGTCACACCCCAAAACCAAGAACGGCGGAAACGTTCTGGGGCGGACGTCATGTACAGTATCAAAACAATGAATAGTAGTAAACAAGCAACAACATCATCCATTGCATTATTAATATAATTTTAATACAAGTGTTATGACAAATTATGATAGACACCAAAGTATAATCAAAATGAAAGATGAGTCTTGAACGAGCTCCATCTTCTCTAAGCCTTGCATCGATACCTGTCTATTGATGACCTGAGAATACAAGTAATTTTGAAAGCGAGTATCAGCTTTAAAGCTGGTGAGATCATAAGTATTTTAGTGTCTTAATTTGTATGTAAGTATTTGTATGTATACGAATTGTAAGTATTGAAAATGTATATGAACTGTAAGTATAAAAATGTTTTGTAAAACAATTGTAAATGTTTGAAAAACCCTAGAAATCCCTATGATTCCTACTAGCATATAAGGGTGTCTTCTACCAAGACCTAACTGCTCTGAATGTAGCCTTATACCAAGATTTAACTGTTCTAAATGTTCGTTTCTTGTAAAAGAGTGTAATTTTCCCAAGTGTAACTATCATTAACAAAAATATAGTTTTTACATTTAATGTTTAAGTAAAAAGATCCCTAAATATATGTAAAGGGAAAATTAATGTAGTATTGTGGTGTAGTGCTATAGAAACTACTGTTGTACTAACTACCACAAACCGAATTTATATTAAGGCATCATGTGATTAATTCTACCATACTATCGACTGGGTAACAACGACAAATGTAGGTCGTAAAAAGGTATGACGTTTGGCACCCATAGACCTGCAGGTCCGGCTGTAGCTAGCAGCAAGGTGTAGGATATTTAATCCAGTATAGATTTATACGCAAACTCACGCTCTCCCTTTAAGAGACTCTGGCTACAACTCGGGCCATGACATTGAAGGCATGCTCCGATATCCCACCAGACCACATCTCAAGCGCGAAAAGGAAATATGGTGGATAACCTTCCTAAGTCCTTTAAACATTTCTTATATATCTATACATATATAGGCATGTAATTGATAATATAAAAGCATAAAATAAGTTTTGTAAAACTTTTGAACATAATTATTATCTAAGAAAAGATCGACTTGATGTCAGTCTATAAAATGGTTTAAATCCATGGGTTTGATAAAACAGTTTAGTATAAAGAAACATTTGTTTGAAACACAATTCTAAATGATTTTGAAATGTAACATAAAGAGTAATATGTACAGTGTAATAAGGAGTTTTAAACACCTAAAGTGTTTATGAAAAACATTTGAAGGAAGCTGTTTGGTAAAACGGCTAATGAGTAGCCAATCATTTGAATGCTGCTTATTAATCACATGTGATTGATATAATAATTAGCATAGTTATACTTGTATCCCTCCCCCCCCCCACACACACACATAAAACATTTAAAAACAGTTAAAACATTGATTAAGGGGTATGAACTCACCTGTTGTGAGTAGCACGGATAAACTAAAGATGTAGGACTACTAGGTGTCAAGGGAAGACTTTAGACACACACAATGGTCCTAATTACATATGAAGATATAGGCATATAAACAATTAGTGATTATAACACTAATTAAACATGTATAAACATCCTAATGCGAGGAAAACACTTTGTTCAAGTGCTAGGAGGCTAATGGGTTGCAACAAAGGAGTGCAAGACCTCATACGGAAGTTTATGGTCTAAGTTTACGGCCTAGGGGAGTAAACTCGTGGCCGTAAACTCTCTATTGGGTCACTAAATGGAGCTTAAAGTTATTACAGCTTAAGTGGTGAAGTGCTTCAAGGCTTACTAGAGTGTTAGGGCTTCTTTTTAACTCCTTTGAGGTG